CGCATACGTGCACTAATGTGACCAATATATTCATTTTTCTATAATGGAAAAAGGGGGAGGAAATACTCCATTTTAGGGCATTTCATGTATGTTATTAATATGAATTTTTTTCAGTAGCAGAAACATGCATTTCAAATTAGTTTTAATCCTCAACATGCCTTTGACAATGATGGTAAATTTTAAACACATGCTTTTGCTAAAAATATCAGCATAAACCATCTACAAAAAAAAATGCTAGCCTTTCCATTCCTTCTGGAAATACGAACTAAACTAGATGTTCATTTTGGAGTGTGATTTTTTTTTTTTTCTGTGAGTCAGTTGAGGTTTTTTAGGATGTCTTTAAGTGTACAGTATGGTGTTCATTATTTTTTCATCTACATTATTAGAAGTGAGACTCGTTCACAGCTGAATAATTAGAACAGGGTCATATGTTGAAAGCACCATCTTACTCTCCTTTCAGATGAGGAGAGACGTAGAAGGCGGCAGTGATTGTGACTAGTTCTGGAGCTGGTCAGCCAGCTAAAGCATGCCACAGGCTGACTAATTAATATCTTTGAAAGCTTGCAGACTGGGTGGGGTACAGCGTCTACACGCAATGCCAGATCATCCCCCTTGCGCTCCACATGGTCAGCATGCTGCCTTTCACCCACCTGCTAAAGCCCTTGAGCATCTTCAGTATCTGAGTATGTAAAACAGTGCATCCGACAAAACTTCTGATCCTCTCAGCTACTCAGCAAGGCTACTTCCTTGTCTCTGGTAAGAATGTAGCTTTTACTTTTCTTCTCTTGCTGATGACTTCCTCTGAAGTCTTTGGTGTCTGCCTGTAAAAGGAAAATTTCACATAGATGTCTATACTGTTTGGGGGAAAGGCTATTTAATTGATAATTATGATATATGTTGAGTCCAAATCTGTACTCAGAAAGACCAAAACTGGTAAGATTCCCTGATCAAGCAATATTTCAGGCATCCGATCTGCATGCCAGCACATCTTTTGGGGTATCTTAATACCTGATGGTAAAGAGAGCCGTTACCAGCTATCAAGGAAATTTTGAGAAAGGTCTAGAGGAGGTCTCTTTAGTTGAAGAACAGGGTAACGGAGATGAACAGAAGTAAGAAGGATTGATTCTTAGTTATCCAAATAAAATAAAGACAACCGTGTACTCTGGAAAACTGTGTATAAAACTGTGGTAACAAGGGCCAACAGAGCACAAGGAGCAACTCACAAAAAGGGTCAAAATGTGTAAATCAATAGTGTGCCCTCACCGGGAATAACGGTGTATATTTCTGGTCTCTCCCACCTTAAATCAGTTATAGTAAACGTAGGAAGAGTTTGGAAAAGAACAGCGAGGATGTTTCAGGGTGTGTAGCAGCTTACATGCATGAAACAAGTGAGCAAAATAGGACTTCTAAAGCTGAATGAACTGACCAAGAGCAGAACACGATCAATAGTATCTTTTTCCTTTTGATTACAAAGTCAAGTCCTTTCACATTCCTTTCAGAAATAACAAGGCTAGGGGAAAGGGATTGTTCCTTCTGTTGAGGAACCAACGAACTCAAGGGGAGGGAAAATTTCAGAAAATGCTGGATATGAGAAGCGAGAGACACACAGCAAGGCTGGGAGGTGGCAGCTTAAGCAAAGAGGTTGCTGAGAAGAGCAGGATTAGTCATGTGAGGTGAGGCATCAGAGATGGCAAGAAGGAACTTAGAAGGGACAGAGAGGACTGACCAAAGTCCCCTGCAATTCAGAAAGCTGTAGTGTTAGCTGCAACTAAACAAGGAAGTAAGAACCTCCCTGAAAAATAACATGGGTAGTGAAAGAGCTTTTCCTTCCTCAGTTCTGTCATTTCTAGTCACTTTGAGTTTTGTTGAAAAAGTTTAAAACTGATTTTTAGCAATTCTAATACCAGGCAAACTCTTTTCTAGGCAGCTCCACCTTTCAATTCTGCAGGCCCATCAAAAAGAATATGATAGTAGTCTGTAAAAATGATAAATAGCTGTGAAAAGCTAAAGAGAGATAACTGTCATCTACTTATTCCAGTATGACTTCTTAGAAATCCGTTGAAATGGCTAGATCAGAGCAAACAACATTGGGTGGGGTTTGGTTGGGTTTTTTGTTTCCAAACAGCATGTAGTTAAGCTACGGAAGTCCTTGCACAAGATGTTACAGATGCTATCACAAGGATGGAAATCCACTCAGAGCTAAAATTATAGACATCACTGCTGGTTCAGGAAACCCATGAGCCACAAGTTGGAGTCTGGAAGACTGGAGAAAGCAGCAATGCGTTTTTCCCTAGGCTGCACTTTTGGACACAGTAGGAGATGCCAGAAACCCTTTGGCCTAATTCAGTACAGTACTTTTGCTCACCTGCTGCTGTTCCACCCAAGTGTACTTGGAGAGGTCATTCCATCTTGTGCGGCTATGAAATAGTCTGGAGCCTGATCTGCTGGAAACCTCCAGATGGGCCAATACAAGCTTTAATTCCCTCCAGTGTGGAGAATGCAGACTGATCAAAAAAATGAGATTAATTTTGCAGATAGTCATCTTTGTGATACTAAAGAAAATACTTTAGTGTGATTGTGGTTCTGCTGATTATGTGCTCATGCTGTTCTGAAGTCTGATTTGCAAAAAAGATGAGCACTGATATTAGTAGAAACTAGTCTTTGAGTACTGAAGTGTTTTATAAATTCTGTACTTCCAAGTTAACAGGTCCTTGACATTTCAGTTAAGTACTCATTTAGTAGACTCTTTTGAACCCAATCTTTCCAGGACTTCCTTATCAGTAAGTAAATAAGGTGATATTATCCTCCTTACCTTACTGAGGGCTGGGGAAGAGTTCTAAGGAATTGTAGAAGTAAATAGTGACCCATTTTTCTGCTGTAGCAGTGAGCACTGTGTACAGAATGTGACAAAGAAATGAACAGTCCAAAGTTGTACTTGAAGAGTACAAGTTTCCAAGACTGAAATACAGGGATAGACACATGTAAACAAACGAAAGCAACTCAAGGTGCACTGGGGGTTTAGTTTTTCTTGCTTTCATTTTTGATGCTGCATTTAAATTTTGAATGATGCTTTTGTGTGTTTGCAGATTTCAGTTACTACTTCTGATGCTTTGCCTGATAAGAGGACTTCTGAATTATAAGCTGAAAATGAAGCTGTTACAGAAAACCATTTTATTAATTAAGATCTTTTAATTTAGCAGCTCTGTTGTTTCAGGGTAAGCTTGAAGAAATTCAGCTCGAATTATTTCAGCTATAACTATCAGAAGTAGAAAAAGAAAAGAAAACAGAAGAGAGAATAATAGTGGAATATGCAGGTATAGGTGACTGTGAAATGTCTCTGTTGAGTAGGGCAGGACATTTATTAATATATATTTATATATTGCCTGGCATAATTTAGATATAGGACTTTATTCCTGTTTTTCTTCCCCCACCTTTCTTTTAAAAGTCCAGTATGATTAAACTGCTTCAGGAAGAACATGTCCTGTGAAAGATTGAGGAAAGTTACGAATATGGAAGATCAGATGAGACTAAGAAAAGGAAAAAGGAACTAACTGGAATGTTGGGGGAAGAGTTAAGGAAGTTGTCATTCACACATAGAGTTCCTCTTTGTTTTTTTTCTTACCATTTCCTGAGGTCATTTTATTAATTCAGATACTCACATCGTAAATATAAATCATGCAATTTAAAGTAATAGGTCTATGATTATATGGTTTGGGGAATTTCTGCAATTTTTATTTAGATCTTACTAGTCATCTAGTCATATTAAAATAAGAAGAAAGGATAGAATCCTTTATAGTTTTTTGATGTTAAGCAGTTTTCCAGCAAATGATGCATTACTCATAATGCACCAAATACAGCTTAACAACTCCAAGATATGAGGTGGTTGGTTTTTAATCTGACATACCTTTTGTTCTGGCTTTGTTTAATTTTTTTTTTAATTTATTTTTAAGATGTGACATCCCGGGGACAGTTCCTCCTATCTCATGCAGCACAGGCAGGTGTTCCCTTCTAGAAAAAAAGATTTCTATGTCAAAATCTCGCGATGTAATATTTGTTTGGAAATAATAAGAACAGTAGGTCAAGCTCTTTAATCGAAGAAGGAAGCCACGTGAAGAAGCAGTGCTGAGCAATGTGCTGAACAACCTACATATGTGATCCTTGGAGTCTTGGGCTGCACGACAAAGCTTCATCAGCACAGATAAGGTTGCTGGGGTGTTGAAAATTAATAGACACGTAGCTGGTGTAGCTGGAGTGACAGAATCCCTGTCATGCACACAGCAAAAAATGGTATGAGGAAATTGAATTTGTCAATTCACTTTAGTTTGTTCACAGAGGCATTACAGGTATTTTGGCAGAAAACCTCCTCATGCTGGCATACTTTCATTTTGAGGACTCTTCCACTACAATTTGCTGGTATCCCTATAGCAGCTGAGACTGCTTGTGGCAGACAAGCTTGGAATCAGAACTTAAAAACAATGCATTAATCTTTATTGAAAACTTGTTTTCCTATGCTTTATTTTAAAGAAATGAAAAGTTTTGATTTCATCTGTGACTTTAGTCAATGGAGAAGAATTTTGATCTTCTGACAGCTTGTGACTGATTCTTTGTGGGGAGGAAAAAAAAAGGATATTTTTACAGTTGCAGTAAGCTCTTTGCTTTTGTATTTTTAAGTGTGTTACTTCAACATTTGTGTCATTTCGCTTTCTGTCACTTTGGTTGCTGCTCACTTAACCTGGGAGAAATGGGAGACGTTGAGGAAGACTTCCAGTGGAAGCAGAAAAATAAAATGTACTAACCGTGTGGCGATTCTCCCTCACATGACTAAAAGAAAAAAAAAAAACCAAACTGTTTTGCTTTCGGCTGTGCTTGCTACTAAACACCCTGTCATAGTGTGTGAGGTGAGTCACGACCTGTTTATTTATAGCCTTGGCCAATCAACGCCGAATGCTCTGAACTTCATTCAAGACCAGCAGGCACTTAGGATGTCTTGTAAACATTTGCTCTCTGAGCAAAGAGCGCTCTTCTCTGCAGTAAACAGGACAGGTGCCCGGGTTGTCACTTCTAAAACACAAAACAGACTAGAAGATCATTGCCTGGATTATCTAGATTGGTAGAGAGAGAGAGAGAATTCCTTTTTACATCTGAAATGCCAGACAGTGAGGATCTGGGACAAGATGAAAGGTACTGTACCTTGCTTCTGATGGCCTTCTCGTGCAGCGCAGTACGGACCGAGGCTTTTGTGTAATCAATCTGTTTGCGTTCCTAAGTTGTCAGCCTAAGATCAGTTTGCTCTCTGTTATAACAGATCACCTAATTCTTGAGGTTTGCCTTTAATGCTAACCTGAGGCTTCTTAGGAGAGAAGTGTTAGATCTTAATGTTTGCGTGGAGGTTAAATTGTACAGCTGTTATGTATTTCTTAAACTAAAGCTGAAGGGAGGAAAATACTGGGTGGTTTCTAGCTAGTCACTTTTCCCAACCATGGGACAACTTACAAGCCTCCAAATGTCAGAGAGACAAATAGTTTAGTCGGAGCCACGTTACTGACAGAACCATAACTCATTACTATGAGATAGGGCACTGTGTCCCCTTGAGGTATGCCTGTCTTTCTGGAATTTAACTTTTATCTTACTTAGCTTATAAAACCAGTGATAAGGACAAGAAGAAAGCAGTTGGGTCTAAAACTTGGTAACAATTTAACAAATACTACTTTTTCAAGTATGATCCAGCATATTCCTATGACATAAATGCACTAATTAGATTTAGCTAAATAAACAGATTTTAACCCAGGTATCTTAAAAGTAGATGTTATTTATGTTTGGCTTTGACAAAGTTTATAATTTAGGTCTCTTAAAGTCCACATGGTCTTTCCATACTTGTAATTTTTACTGTCTTGATGCTAATCAAAAGGTTGGCTTTAAAATGGTATTAATGAAATATTTGATATTGCAAAAAAGAATTGTCATATATGTGGAAATAGATTTTTTTAATGTAAGTTAGTTAACAAAATGCCAGAATATAGAGGCAAATTTAAGAAATTACAAGAATGAGAAGAGAGCATTTCATTATGGCTTGGGATTTGATTTCTTCTAGTTAGATTTAAATTTGACCATTTATGTGGATGTTTATTCAATATGTATGTCAATGTGTAGTTGTAAGATAGATGAAAGACAGAAGACATTTCAGGTTGTCTGTTGTAGATCAGCATATTCAGGCATGGTCACCTGCTTGGGTGAATGTGGGTGAATGGATCCCCAGTGGCATGACTGGGTCTCTGCAAGGGTGGGGTCACCTATGCATTTCCGTTTGCAGGGATCTAAGTTGTGCCCTATATATGACACATAGATTAAAAGTAATTGTAGTAGTAGGTAGCATTTTTTTCTTTCCTTTAAGGAAATGTTGAGTCATTACTGATAGCCACCAAAGTGTTAATTGCTATTCATTAAAAAATGTTTAGCTGGATCTCCAGTTTGTTAAATTGTATATTTTTCAATACAGAAAAACAGCAATATGCATGACACATTAAAAAAAGGAGGTTTCAGATCATAATCACCTTTTTTTCTTTTGAATCAATTTTATAAAGGATATACATGGTGATATATACTTCCTTGAAAATATGTTGTGTGGTTTTTAAAACAACATGGGAGAAAAATCTTACCAGCTGAGAAGAAAAATAATTTTGAAAAAAAATTTATTTCAAAATTCAGATTTGGGAAAAAAAAAAGCAGCAGTGTTTACCAATGTGTAAAAGGATGCAATTGGTATGCAAAACATACAAGCTTTGTAATATCTAACTTCCTTTGTTTACAATTCTTTCTCTATAAAGGTTTGTAGCAAGCTTTGGCAGTCACATAGAACTAATACTAGGCCTAAACCTCTAAGACTTCATTTTTATGAATCAAAGTTGTTTCTTTGTTTTTAAACAAAAAAGATGAAAATTTCTAAAGCAGTAACCTGAAAAGGCATTATAGGGCCTGCTCTCCCCACTTATCATTTCCAAAACTACCATTAAATTAATTGACCCTGATCCTAGTCTCTCATCCTTTTGTGTCTTTGCTATTGAGCAAAAAGGTTTGAGAAAATAGTTTAATCAAAAGGCTCTGATTTTTTCTGGAATTCATTTGCCTTTATGTCTTGGTGGTAACAAATAGGAGATAACTGGAGAACATTCCAACAGAAGTGCTAATGAGATTTGGCGGAGATCAGAATATTTTGGTTCGAGTTAGACAGGAGGGAATAGAAGGAGGAGTTATGGGAACTATACCAGAGCAATATGGGAACTGTACTGGAGCAATTCATTTTAGAATTGCAAAAGAAGAGATACTAATTGAAATGCACAGATAATGGGATAATTTTGAGGGTGCACTGAACCAAAGCTACTGCTTTATATATTTAAAAAAGGAGGGCAGTGGTATTTTTGTAGAAGATGTAGAATGAGCTTTGTTTGCTGATTGGTTTCAGCACACTGCACTCCTTGTAGCTCCTTCTTAGATGCAAACAAATACTTCTTACATCACCTCCCTTCTTGAGTTCATGTCCTACTTCAGAAAATATGTAATATTGCATCATAAGTATATTTCATGAACATTATAACATCATAGTTAAAGATGTGACATTGGTCAACAGTCTCTTAGTCATACTGTGAATTTAAAAGTATAATAAGCAAAGGAACATAAGCACAAATACTTCTTAGTAAGGCTAGTAAAAAAGCTAGGAGTTGTGAAAATTAGGTACCCACTCATATCTTCTGTTTTGTTTTGTCATATGATCCTGGGCAGTAGCAGATCAAGAACCGTGAGGAAAGATGTGGTGAACAGTCCAGGATTGAAAACAGCTTAGTATAAGGACCGTATTTTCCCCTAGTAACTCTTTATAATCAGGTCCCCTGCAGTTTTGGTGTAAGATGGTATCATTTATTTAAAAAAAAAAAATTAAAAAATTGACAACTCATGAGGAATCTGATGATGGTCAAGAATGTATAAAAGGTACTGTGAATGATCGGTCCTGAAGTGGTGGAAGCACCTGGCTGTAGCTGCTTCAAAGAGATACCAATGTGTAACTTCCTCTATCAGAACAATGTCTATGTTGTTCTATTCGCTCTCACCTCCCTGTTATTGAAAAGGCTAAACTGTTAGCCAGGAATCTTTATGAATTGAATAAAAATGGGAGAGAAAGCTACCTTATTTCGAACAAGTTGTTTTTGACCTACAGTCTTATAATGCATGACCTTTCTCAGTATGTGCTTAGACTTAGAAAAGTGGAGATGCAGTTTAAAGTCAAATCTGTGTGTTATTTAATTACTCAAAGCATGTTGATTTGTAATTATATAAGAATACTTGTTTCTTCTGCTGATATTAGTTAATAAAGTGGAAAGTATTTGATTTGCTTTTATGACTGAATTCAATGAACAAATGTAGGCAATGAGTGGTTAGCTCGTGCCAGGAACTTTCAGTAACGTGTCAAAGTAAATGATCCCCTGCTCATAGTAAATACATTAAAACCCATTGAAAAGAGCCAGAATTAAGTTCTTCACAGAAGGAGTTAAAGCCACCTTGTAATATTACACAAAAAGTCGTTTTCATGTTTTTGCAGGTTAAAAGTATTGTCTGGCACTTGAAAATCCGATTTTCCTTTTTTGTGCAGCTGCTCTGCAACTCAAGGCATGCTCAGCTCATCTTTCCTAGCTGTTTGACTTTGAGAGGCCTTGAACTAGGAGTATCCCAGCTGAAGAATGTGGAGGCTGAAGGAGGGAAATTAATTGAGTTTGTGAGAAAGGGTTAAAAGAGTTTTCTTTGCAGGAGAAAAATAAATGTGAAAGCATTGCTTCCAGCAGCTGGGCAGAGCTGTTTAAAGTTCTGCAAACAGAACTTCATGCTCCTGTTGATAGAAACAAGACTTCCTTACTTTTCTGAACAAAAATAGTGCAATAAAAATGTCTCTTTTGCATCACAAGTTTCTATTATAAATGGGAAGCTGACCTGGAAGATCCCAACCCTTGTGCTGTCTTGGTAAAAAGACAACAGCAAGTGGCAATAGCATTGTAGTCTTTGCTAAACAGAAAGCAAATCTATAATAGTATTTATGTGGCACTGAAATGCTGAATTTTCATGGAAAGAAACGTTTAAGAAATCTATGCTTATTGACTAAGTCATGCCTTTGGACTAATAGCACTTGACTATCAGATCACATTTCACACTTTGAATGACCTCGAACTAGAGTAGCTGGTGTTCTTCTCAGGAGAGCTGGACAAGAGTAGTATAGGTCAAAGGAAGAGTTTCTCACGAGAGCTGACCTGTCAGTTTGCCTAGAAGAGTCTATTTAGAGGTGCTGGACAATGAAATGCCCCAAATTTAGTTGGAGTATATTTTGTTTATTTTAGCAGGACTTTCAGCAAAAAGTGACGACATTTAGGACAATCTGCTGTGTTGAGGAACTTCTGTACTGGAATCACTTCAAAAAAGTTGGAGTTAACCTGTTTGTATCTGATCAGCTAAAGACAGACAATAGAGCTCCTTATTAAGACTTTATAAGACAACCGATGTTATACTTGAATAGAAGAAATGAATGCATCCCCTCCAAAATAAAATCGTGGTAGTAGTGGGTCGTCTTTTTTTTTTTTTTTTTTTTTTTCAGGAACCTGTAGGACAAGACGAGTTCCCCTATCCTTTTGCAGAACACTCGAGTGCATTTTTATAATAATAGCATTGGTTTCTTTTTCACAAAAGTTTGTTCTTGACTAGTAATAAAAAAAAACCCAAAATCTTCATTTATGAGATTGATATTGTTTAGCAGCACACCAGTGGTAAAATGTTCCCATGTCAGTTGAAGAGAAGAAAATACCATTATGATTTTAGTTTAACACACCTTGCAAGAAGTGTATAAAGTCAGGGATGAGGGTTGCTTATATTATGTTTTGTTGAAAGTCATGTGTCCTGGCCAGTCTGCTCTGCAGTCCATTGAGAAAAACACATCCAGCCTCATCAAATGGTGATGATTTAAGCATGTTACTTGTACAATAATGTTGCCAGGAAATATTCTTGGTCAATAAATAAAAGGGGTCTGCATGTTACTGAAAGCTGTGAAATAACATTTTTTTCAGCTTTTTATTGCACATCTTTCCCTGAAAAAAACAGTAACAGCAGATTGGACTGACTCACTGTAAAAAGCACAAAATTGAAGTGTC